CCGCTGTGCCTGCACCCGCCAAAGCCGCCACGCGCAGCGCGCGACCTCCACGCCGACGTCCGCCTGGAACCCTAAACCCTCGACCCTCAACCCCAAACCTCACACAAGCCCTTTGAACCACCAACACCCACCGGGAACAGCGGCACCTCCTCCGCGCGCTTCGCCTTGGAGCGCGCCCTGGCGAACGCCGCCGCCCGCTCCTCCGACAGGCAGGTGGGGAACCGCATCTGGCGGGGCGGAGCAGGGGGGCCACGCACGGGTGCGCGGGCGCTTTTGCTCGAACGCGCGCAGGATCGGGAGCAAAGACAGATGTGTGTTGAGAGGCGGTTTGCGGACGTTCCTAGTGCCGCGAGAGTACCACGGTGCCACACAGCGACCCGACATGCGAGACAGCACGCCACCTGTAGCCCCTCCCTCCAGTCATACACCAGGAATGTGCAGACACACGCACACACAAACCGACACATACACATGCGCACATGCGCACATACACATAAACACGCTCTCATGCACACATAACCACATGCACCCATGCACACACACATGCAAGCACACATTTGTGCACAAAAGACCATGCCAGCATCAGCAGGTGCAGCACAAACCCGCCCCACCTGCACTCGCCGCGTGTCGCAGGAGCGGTCTATGAGGTAGGCCCCCCAGCTGCTCAGCAGCAGCAGGTACCGCGTCCCATCCGCCTTCCACGTAACCCAGTACCTGCCACACGGGGGTTTCGGCGACGGGGTGATAAGCCTTCCAGGGATCCACCCGACAACAGGCTTTCATTTTGTGGTGGCTGGGGACGCAGCAAGCGATGTCCTTTGATTCAAGGACATTCTCGTATGTTGGGACTGCCTGTAGCGGAGCGGAGCGCTGGCGGGTGCTCGAGGGCTCCGACGGCCCCCAGCTGTCGCACGGCTCGTTCGAATTGGGGCGGCTCCTGCAGCATGCGTCGCACCGCTTGGCCTTGATGTACTCGAGCTTCTCCCGGTCGAGGCTGACCGGCTGGCTGCCAGCAAACTGGGGCGCCTGCCCCTGGTACTGCAGGCTCGGCGGCTTGGCGCCCGGCGGGCAGGTCTGGGGGTCCTGGGGGACACGGGTGGACGAGGGCAAAGAGAGAGGGGGTTGCAGCGCGGCAAAGCGAGATGTGAGGCGGATGGGGTGTTCGGATACAGAGACGGAAGCATAAATCCTATCACTCAGGCTTCAGATTCAAGTCCTTGAAGACGAGCAGATTGCTACGAGAACAGCGAACCAGATCAGATCAGATCAGATCAGATCACCTGCATCATGATGGCGTCGTACACCTGGTGCGCCAGCCACTCCCGCTCCTCATCGGGGATGACCTCCCCAAACTTGTCGTCGTGCGACATGTGGCCCTCCTGCGAATCATACAACGACAAAACACAATGGGATAACGTAAGGATGGCGTCACATGGCGGGCAGGGGTGTGTTGAGATGGCGGCGCTGCATGGGGGTCGCGCGGCTGCGTGCAGGTGGCGTCTTCGTCGGCCGGCGTCGCACGATCCCGGTCGGCGGGGGGCAGGCGGACACACGCACAATGCAGGCACGCTGTCCAGGTAGATTTTTGAGCCGTTGCAGGGGGTAATCCAGAGCCCCCGCGATTGCGCGATTACGTGCGAGGCTGACAAACACCACCTTGTCCTCAAAAGGGGCGAGCAGCCCCGCGGCCTCGCCCAAGCTATGCCAGACAACCCCCTCCCTCACACCTGCTGGCCCTTGCGCTGCGCCGGGGCCGCGCCCCCGTCCGCGTCAGCGCCGTCATCGTCCTCCCCCGGCGTGTCGGGGCCCTTCCAGGCGGGCACGGGGGGCGTGAGGGTGGCGGCGGGGCGCACCTCGTGGTGGTACCTGCCAGCGGGCGGTTTCAAGGGTGCATGTGTATGTGTGTGTACATTGTGTGTGTTGAGCTTGGGCGGCTGCCCGTGATAGGTTGCAGCAAGCTTGGTTGCAGCAGAGGGCTGGTCGCGCGGCTGCAAGGCAGCGACCCGGCGGCTGCCGAGGCAAGAGGCGTGCTGGCGGCGCCGAGGCTCGTCCCCGCACTGAGCACGCGGGGTCGTAGCTTGCCTACGGCAGCTTCGCCGGATTGGGGCCGACACAGAACGAAATCCAACATTTGACAGCGCAAAAGGTGAACCAGCACTCAGATACTTGTACTGTCACCTGGCCGTCTGATGCTGGCTCTCCCTGTGCATCGCGTGCGCACGCTCACGCACGGGCAGATATACGTACACATCTGCAAGCACAAACACAAACACACACCACACACGCATACACACACTCAAACAACATCTCAACACACACCCACACAACATATATACACACACACCCTGAACTCACGTAACTCTCACACACACAAATAAAACATCCACACGCTTTTTACACAACAACTCACACACACACACTCACCTGAAGAGGTCCTCTATGTACTCGTGCTTATATATGCCTGGCGGCCGCTGCTGCGCGAACCGCCGCACTGCGCGCTCCACGCACATGCCCGTGGGCGCCAGCAGCCGCATCATGGCGCACGTGATCATGTAGCCGGTGCGGTTGAACCCGTGGGTGCAGTGGATCTGGGGGGTAAGGGGTTGAGGAGGTGCATACGAGGTTGCAGGGTTGGTGCGTGTGAGTGCGCGTGTGTGTTTGATGTACAGGGCTATTGCTGGGATGCCTGGCCCTGTTGATGTGTATAATCATCCAAAAAAGGCAAGTAACGCGGCAGAGGAGCAGGCTGGACCAAGGGCTGGGTGAGGGGTGCAAAGTTCTCACCAGGAAGTACGTGTTGGGGTATGACATCAGCGCCTTGTTCACCTCCCAGCACACCTGCGCCCGATGGCCGAGCGCAGCACGGCGCGGTGCGATGCATGTGGGTGGGGGAGCCCCTGGCATATACGGAGGCTCCAGGGTAGCATGCTGGCGCGCCCCGCACGCCACAGAGCCGGGCGCTGCAAAGCGCCCGGCGCCGGCGCTGCCAGGCGGGGATCGGCGGGGCCCCCGGCGTTTGGAAGTCCAGGGGGCGGCGCCGGGCGCCGCGGCGCACCTGGTTGACAGCCAGGGGGTCTGGGGACGCGTCCCGCCCGACGCATGGTACCTGCATGCATGGTGGCAAAGCGGGGCCAAGCGGCGGGACTCGCCCGAGTGCAGCGCGGGCAACCTCCCCGCATCGCGGGCCGCGCTAGAGGGCGGGCCGAGCTGCGCCCCGGGCCCGGCCCTAGCTGGCGCGGGCGCAGTGGGGCCCTGCAAGGCACGCGCCCGCACGGTGCCGTGGCGGACCCCAGGGCGGCCGCGCGGAGGGGCCTCGCAGCATCGAGGCCTTCGGCCCACTCGGCTGAACCAGCCAGCACCAGCATCCGCACCAGCCCTCGCCACCCACCCCTGCCGCCTCCCATCACCACCAACAGCCAGCATCCGCCGCCGGCACCCGCCACCACCACCCGACCACCATCGCCCTCCGTCGCCACAAGCTCCCCCACTCCCCGCCACACACACACAAACACACACACACACACAAACACACACACACACACAAACACACACACACACACAAACACACACACACACACACACACACGCGTGCGCGCACACACACACACCACAGTCACTCCGTCACGACCTCAGCCCGCCAGCTCACCTTTATGTACGCCACCCCCCCTGGCACCTCCGCCGGGCTGTAGTAGCGGCTGGAGTTGGTCAGGTCAATAAGAATGGCCAGCTGCGGCGTGAACGGCCCCTGCGACTGCAGGTCGTGGCGCCCCACGGCCCAGGGCGGGACCCACGTGCCGTTCTGTGCGGGCGCGGGCGCGGGGTTGGGGGGGAGTCAACGGGGTGGTGAGTGCCAGGGACGATTGCTGGCGCGCGAGTTGGGCCTGCCACAGCGGAGCCTCTTGGAAAGCGGCCGCGCCGCGCAACGTGATGGTCAGATGAGCGCATCTGCATGGCGCGTGGGTGACAGCAGCCCGCCGACCCTCTGCGCGTGCATTCCGTTTGATGCCAGCTCGCACACCCCGAGCGGACAGCATGCGCCGTGCCCTCGTCTTGCGATGGGCGTCTGCTGCTGCTGCTGCTGCTGCTGCTGCTGCTGCTGCTGCTGCTGCTGCTGGTGCAGGCTGCATCTGCTGCTGCTGAACGGATGGCTCGTGGCCCGTGCCGCGGGCGGGACGGCACCGTGGCTGCGGAGAAAGCAGCAACAGGTCGAAACCGCTGAGCCCCACCCACGACGCACCGTCTGCGCATGCTTGTTGGCAGTGAACGCCAACAATTTGTTGTGCGCCAGCATGCAGGCACTACCAGGGTCAAACTGGTATTCAGTCTCGATGCCTTGGCCCAGCCGCTGCCCCAAAGGCACCTGCCACGGTCGGAGCAGGGGCAGGCGGCCAGCCGGGCTCAACCCAGGGGTGACACTGAGGCGTCAAGCTGAGTTGGATGCTGCTGCGCCACGTGAGCTGCTCCGAGCATGCGACCGCAAGGCAGCTGGGCTGCCGGCGCGCTCTTGTGCGTGGGGAGCTTCGCCACGGCGCAGCAGCCATGCGGGCTGGGTCTCGCGCCCCTTGCAGGTGCAGCAGCCCCCCCTCGACTCCCGCAGTAGGCCTCGTCGGGCACACCTTGCAGGGTATGAAGGGGTGCAGGTCGGATACCTCGCCCATGTGTGGACATTGGCGCCAGCCCTTGGGGATCGGATCCTGGGGGAGCGTTTCCGCCGGTGCATGTCAGCGCATGCGAGGGCAGCGCGAGCGGCGCGCATCAAGGCATGCAGCCGCTGCGCTTGCGCCGTGCAGCCGTTGCATTGCGACCCCGCCGCATCAGCTGCACTGCAATCATATCGAGGGTTTCCGTGCAGCCTCTGAGACTCACAAATGGCCGGCCATCCCCCCTCATTCGTTTGTTCTGCTGCATGTTGGGCGCCTTGGCTCCACCCTGCCCTTCCCGTGCCCTATGTGCCTGACAAAAATGCTAATAAACCCTTTTCTGACTAGATATACGCGGATTAGGAGGCTCTCGGGCCGCTGATCGTAAGTACCGATCTGAAGTGCGAATTTACTTGCACATCTAGGACTTGCGTGCTATCAGGCATTTATGTATGATACTGAAGGGAGAGTTACAAGCGGTCGTAACGGTCGAGGCTTTCCCAGCAAGTGCATCGGGTGCGTCTGCAGCGAGAGTGCACGAGACACACCAACTGCACAACCGTATAGCATTCGATCTTATATAGGCAACAGTGTCAACACAAGTCTGTTTTGAATGTCATCAATCGATAGCCAGGCCGTCCACCCTTAGCACGGTCGAGCGGGCCTCGATCCATCGCTTGCAACAACACCATGCCTATCACGCGGTGCTTTGCAGCCCTAGCGCTGATCCTGGGTGCCTGGCCGCTCTTAGCAGCGGGCCTCTCTGACAAGGTGGGGTCATGCGGTCGAAAAGCAGCACCCCGCTGCTCCGGACCGTTCCACACATGTCGCCCAGCGCCGCGACTCATGCAGCGGCGCTGCTGCCCCGCCGACCGCAGGGAGTCATCTATCTTGACGATCTCACATTCAGCAAGGTGCGATTTCAAGCACAGACCGCCTGCGGGCTGGCACCCGGCCGGCGCTCGTCAGCCCGACGCCATGCGCGCCTGCCCAACGCGTGGCCAGATCCGGGCGGCACACGCAGGCCGTCAACCTCCATTCTGTAAGCTGCCAGCTGTGGCAGCGGGCCGCATCAATGACTGTCGCACGCCCTCTAAGTCAGGAGCCGCTGGTGTCGAGCGCAAGCCGCGTCCGCGTACAGCCACCCCCCCCCCAAAAAAAAAACACTGGCCCCGTTTGTCAACAATCCTGCAGATCGTCAACGGCCGAGAGGATGTGCTCGTGCGATTCGATAAGGAGTACCGTAAGTCAGCAACCGCCGCGACGCGCCCTCCCCTCGTGCTGCGCCCGTGCCAGGAAACACCTTGCTCACGCCTGACACTCCATAGCATCACAGCACATGACATCATGCTTTGTCAGCATCTTGAGGGGAACCCCTGCATGAGGCAGCAACCCTGGTTTGTTTTGTAAATTAAGTTTGTTATGGGTGGCCTTTGCAGCGCTGCAAAGGCCAACCTTTGCCTTGCCCTTCTGCCAATATCGCCCTTAAACCCAGCGCCACTCCCAACCCACCTTGCTGGACATTGACCCAACCCCCACCCCCTTTTGCCCACCAACTTCAAAATCATCTTCCAGCCTGGGGTGACGCCCACGACATATTCAAGGCCCTGGCAGTAGAGCTGGGGGAGGTTGACGCGCCGCTGCTGGTGGCTGGGGTACCCATTAGTAACCGCGATGAGTACCTCGTAAACCCGCGCCTCTCGGTGGGTTGGCGGGGGTTGGGTTGGTTTTGGTTTGGATTGATTTGGGTCGTTTTGTGTCAAGTTGGTCGATTCGAGATAGTTCCGGGTGCCGGGGCGCGGACGGTCGGCGATCCGCATCGCGGTTGCGGCGGGCTCGGGGCGTCCCCCCGGCCTGCGCTGGGGTTGGCAGGGCTGGCCGGCAGCCTGCGGTGCGGCGCGGCCGCTGCAGCCTGATCGTCCCCTGGCTTGTCTGAGTGGTCGGCCACACGCCTGGGCGGCGGCGCGCCAGTCATGTGTGCATGCCTCGCAACACCAGGCGGCCTGGGCATGCGGGGTCTCAGGTGGTGCCTCGTTGCCGCCGCGTAAGATTGAAGGCAGTGCAGGTTTTTTGCGAGAAACCAGGAGCAGCCGTGCCGCTGCTGCGTGCGCGGCGACGGCTGCCCCCTGTCGCCCGCAGCAGCTCGCAGCGCCGCGCCTCCCCATCACTCCGCTGCGCAGCTATAGAAGGGCGCCGTCACCACTCTCCTTGCAGCCAACCACTGCTTTTTCCTGCCTCCTGGCCCGCTCCACCCCCTCACCCCGGCCTCCTCCCCACCTGCCGACCTACCCCGTCACCCGCTGCAATCTGCGAATCCCCCAGCGCCGCTTTGACCTGGGGAAGCTCAAGGACGAGGACTTTCCAAAGTTCAAGCTGTTTCTGAAGGGCGCGGACCCCAAGCAGCCCCTGGACTATGCGGGCAAGGTTGACAAAGATGAGATGGCGGCGTGGCTGGTTGCCCACACGAGCCTCTTCATCGGCAAGAGGGTGGGTCTGCGGTGTGGGGCAGCGGCGCGCGCGTGATTTTTGGGTGGGGTGGGGGAAGTGCAGGATGTTGGGGTGTGTCCCGCTTGCGGGCTTGAGTGTGACGTGGCGTGAGTTGAAGACTGGGCTTGCAGTTGTGGGATCCTTTTTGACTGCTTGCTCGGGACTTGTTTCTGAACACACGCGTGCACACACACACACACACACACACACACACACACGCGCACGCATGCGCACACAATTACACGCACATCACACAAAATGCATGCATCACAGCGCGCACATAATCAACTTCCCACAATCCCCTTCCTCCCTCGTGCCTCTCTGAATTCCACACCCCCCAGGGCCAGCTGGAGCAGCTGGACGCAGCTGCCAAGAAGCTGGTCGCCGCCAAGCCCGACGACCGCCCCGCGGCCCTAAAGGCGGCCAAGGATGAGGCCACCGCGCTGCAGCTGACGCCGGTCCAGAAGGAGTTTGCAGAATACTACATCAAGACCATGAGCCGCGTCGTGGAAAAGGGCACTGCCTATGTTGAGAAGGTTTGTTTTATGGGGGGGCGGGGCAGCCTTGGCGAGCCGCCGGCAGGCGCCGCTGCGTGCTTGTGGGGCCGAAGCGTGCTGGTGGGGCGCGCGGTGTGGCGCTAAGGGATGCGCGGGCCACCGCCACGGGCACGGCTTGCTAATCCGCAGCGGTGTCTGAGCCCCGACCTCGCTACCTTCGGCAAGGGGTGGTTCACGAACCGCTTTTGCCCCTGTTGCATGGTGGTGCAAAACAAGCTGCACTCTCGTTTTGGGTCACCACCCATGTGCCTTCTGCGTTCCCCGCAACCCACAGGAGTTCCAGCGGCTATCCAAGGTTGCCGCGGACAAGGGCGTGTCTCCTGTCAAGCGGGAAACGTTTGAGTGGAAGGTGAACGTGCTCAGAAGCTTCATGCCAGCCACCAAGGAGGCGCCTGGCGGCGGCGGCACCCAAAAGGACGAGCTGTGAGGGAGTTTTCTTTACGAGTACTGGTGAACACTATCGTGGTGCTGCGACAGCTATATGTGGCTGCCTTAAACAACCTGTAATTTGTGACAGCTCGGTCTTTGTTTGCTCTGGCCCTGTGGGGACGCGAGCAGACACAAGAAGGGTGGCAACGCCGCTTGTCTGTTCCGCCTTCAGCAGGGCAGGGTGGCGATGCAGCTGCCTGCTACAGGGCACATGTTCTGGGCAGGGCAGCGAACAGATGGGCTGGGTTCCAATGCCTTCAGTGACAGTGTCTGCTGTTCCTTACATGCACAACACATAGGATTGGCAGATGCCAGCTGCTTGCTTGCTTTCACCTTTGAAATGTACATGTGTGAAATGTTCCAACAAGATTCAGCTGCTCTGCCAGTAGAACACTTGAACAAGGTGAGTGCTGCAGTGTGCAATTACACATTGATTGCGCAAGGTCAGTGACTCAATTTGCACTTGTTTGAGCGTTTCAGTTTACAGCAACTATCAACTTGCGCCACAACAGCAGGCCGCCAAAGCCCAGCCAGCCAAGTAAGAAAGGCCGCAAAACCAAGGCATGCTCTTAGCTGAGTTTCCGCTTCACTGCCGTTCCGTGTTTGTTTGTGGGAGCTTGAGCAAGCGGGGAAGCCCGTCTCGTGCAGGACCTCGGCAAGGCGGCCGCCCTTCATGACAGGCAAGCGCCTGCGTTGCTTCTTGCATGCGTCTAGTGGATGCGCTGGGTGACCTCCGCCGCCTGGTTGACGTCGCCAGAGCGCACGTAACCAACCTGAGAGCCAACCTGTGTTGGAAGGGGCACACGGAAGATGTCATAACTGTTGTCAGGTAGGGTGCACTAAGAACTACTAAGTACTTACCAGTACTACGAGACATCAAGGCTCATAGGTCGACAACTTCGACCACTGCACATGGACACGTCAGTTATTCTGATAAAACGACTTGACAGGACCATCTTTTTCGAGCCTGAGCTAACGCCCCCCAAGCACATTGGTTGATGGGGGGCCCCATGGCCCCCATCAACCAGCGTGCTTGTGGGCGTGAGGTCAGTGCACGATGTCGTGCCCTGCGCTGGCAGGTACACGCCCGAGGCGCGTGAGGCCGCGCACTGTGCCACCTGCCACCCACCGCGAGGTTGCGAGTGTTGCCGGTGGCTCCGGGGCTGATGGACTGGGAGCCGTGGAACTGCTGGCGGACCTGGCCGTTCAAGGACACGCCCACCTGAGGATGGGGGGGGGCATGCGGCCATACTACCCGCATTATCAGGGTGGGTGATGCATGGACTGCGTGAAACGCTAGCACCCTTACAGCGGCCTGTTTCAAGTTGCCCGTTTGCACCCACAGGAGGCAGGGCCCGGCACTGCGCGCGCACGATGGGCCAAGCACCGCCCGTTTCACACGACACTGGGCTGGTCTGCACGGCGGCAAGC